AAGACGTCCCGTTGTTGTTGCGTGAACTCTGGGGGGGCTTCCCGGCAGAATGCAGTGAGGTTTTCTCGCAAGAACTCTTGGACGCCGGTCAAACTCAAATGGGTCAGACGTGGGCAGCTATTCAGCAAAGCGTGAATACCCTAAGCCGTAATGTCAGTATTGCATGTCGTGTACATCAGGGCCTTCGACCAAGACTTGCCTTCATTCTCAACTGAACGCAATAACTCAGGTGAACACGCTCTAGACTGCTAACGGAAGGATGATGGCCCATCTTGGGCCGTGCCAACGCTAAAATACTCTGATCAGTGATGGCCTGACATTTGACGAGCCCGATTCTGCGGAGCTTCGGCAAGGTTGCCAATTGCTGCACACTAAGGTCTGTGAGGAGGTTGCAGCAGGCCAGGTCGATGTATCGAATGCGGTTGCAGGACTTGACCAGGTTTATCACGGCCGAGTCGGAGATGTTCGAACAGTGGCCCAGGTGCACATAGTGAAGGTTTTTTCCTAGCCTGCAAATAGCCATCACAGATCGATCTGTGATAAATCGGCATTTGGCCAGTACGAGATTCCGCAAACGAGGAGCTGCACGCACGATTCGCTCAACCGAGTCATCCCTGACGTTCTCGCATGCGGTGAGATCGAGGATGCGAAGACTGTCAAAGGTCATTTGAGGAGGTAGCGACATGAACGCACTGTCGTCGATTTCGGTGCATTGTGCAAGCCGCAGTTCTCGGAGATACCGGAGTGTTGTGAGCAACGGGGTCACTGATAAGCTAGTGACAAGTTTGCAATCATGCAAGTCGATTTCCAGTATAGACGGGCAGTTCTCGGCAAAGGACTGAATTGCCCGATCTGATACATTGGAAACCCCGTTGAGTTTCAACTATTACAATTAGCGCTTGCATTCCACCAAAGATCCCAAATATAATCATACCCTTTTGATTTGACGACACTTTTGCGATACAACAAGCAAAGCGTCGTCGGTGACTTTTGAACATCCCGTGATGTTCAGGCCTTGCAGACGGGGACAGTCTCTGGACACCGTGGCGAGCGTGTGGTCTGTAAGGTGTCGCAATTCTGAAACATCCAGCGCCTGCAAATGTCGGTTCCCTTCCACCAAGTCCGACACACCCTTATCCGTCAAGTTCTTGCAGCTTGTCAAAGTCAGCCGCTCAATGCGCTTGCACTGATTGAAGGAGACGATAGTTCCATCGCTAACATCATCGGACAGAGCAGACAGATTCAGTCTCTTGATAAGGTCTGCGTAGTTGAAAAGACTGTCCAGTTTTCCCAACGACGTAGTCACGCTTCTCACATTGCTCCAGGTGTTGCAAGTCGGTCGGTGCCACAGTATCCCTACAGAGTTTGCAGCCCATCCGCGACACACCAGCATGGAATTTAGCATATCTAAGGGCGCAACCAATTTCGAGAAAATCGCGATCAGAATCTCGGGTGGGAGGCGACCGATCGGCGGCAGTGGCTGGGATGTTTCACTTGACAAACGAGAATCGCGGAAATTGGCGACACCGATGGAGGATTGCGAGTCGTTGGCCTGGGCCATGAAGAAATCGGTGTCATCATCGGCGACACGTTCGGGTGACGTCGATCCAGACGTTTCGGAAGGGGCTGCACTCGAGCACCGACCGTCTTCTCGTAGTCGGTGCATCTTAGTCGGTGTAGATTCGCTTTTTGAGGTTCGCTTCAATATGTTTTTTGGGTGTCGGTAAGGTTGAAATCTCATAACTCAGGGAACTTTGCATGGACAGTGCATGTGAGACTGGAACTGGCAAGTCCGGTCCACAGATGCAGCCAGTCTTTGTTCAGTCAACGGTCCTAAGACTTTGTTTCGTCTGAAGACTGGTAGATGAATGTAATTTTCGGGAAATATCTGCAGTAAGGTGGGTGCACGAGGGATGTAAGCGTGGTTTCGCGGCGCGTATTTGGATGGCAAGGGGAGGTGGACAAGTGCAGATCGTTCAGAATGAAGTTGAGGCAAGCTAGATCATGGCCCCATGCACCCCTTTGGTAAGATGCAAATGCGTAACCAGGAAAATCAATGCAAGTAAATGTGAAGGGATAAAAGCGGCGATGGAGGGGGGATGAGGCAATTGGGCCGGGTTTCACAGTGCTGTGGAGTCAGTGCCAAGCACTGCTTATCGCTCGATAAGATGGGATATGGGGTCGTAGTATATCCCTTTTGGTTATGAAACTTGCATGTAGACTCTTTATAAGGATTAGAGTGGCTTATTGAGCTAGTTAATATTAGAAGTATTCAAGGTCGCTTGATGTGACCTCGTGCTTGATCTACGATCGGTTTACTCAATGCGGGAATACCGGACATCTGACCTCATTAGGATGTAGAGGAAGCCCTACTTTCTTCCAGAACTTTTCCCACATGTATTCAAAGTGATCTAATAATCTACTTATAAATATATTCATCCAAGTAGTAATCTTTGTCTAAACTTCTCTCGCACCCTTCACCCAGTCACGCAAGACGTTCTTCCGGATTTTGCCAGTACTGGTCTTAGGTAGTTCAGTAACCACTTCCACTTCTCGAGGAATCATGAACTTGCTGATTCCGCTACTATTTCGAGCCCATTCAATCAACTCTGAGCCTTTCATGTGCTTGCCTTCCTTTACTGTAACAAAGGCTTTAGGTCGTTCGCCCCAGTGGGAGTCAGGAACAGAAACAACACCAGCCTCCAAAATGTCAGGATGCATGACTAGCATAGACTCAAGTGCAACGGAGGAGATGTTTTCGCCGCCTACTCATTGTTAGCAATCTAGTTTCATGGCAATTGTCCGCTCGCCACACATACCACTAATGATGATATCCTTCGCACGATCGAGAATCTGAATCGCACCATCGGGATGCCAGACAGCTAAGTCTCCGGAGTGCAAAACACCACCTGCGAATAATTTCCGAGTTGCCTTCGGGTCCTTGTAGTATCCTCGGGCACAGATATTTCCAACAAAAACAATCTCGCCAATTTCCTTGCCATCCTTGCGAACATCAATGATGGTCCCTTCGGGCACTTCAGTCTTGATGACCCGACCTGGAAGGCTTGTAATGAAGCCATGGCCTTGGCGGGCCATCTTCTGGTATTTCTCCTTGAGAGCAAGCTCGTTCCATTCTGGCAAATGGTAGCCCTTTGTGATTGGGCCGTATGTCTCCGTCATTCCATAAACATGTACCGGATGTAAGTTAAGGTCGGTCATTTGTTCGAAGAGAAGAGGCGTAGGTGGGCTTGCTGCCACCGTGACGTGGACAGGCTCGGGCAGTTTCTCTGCTTCTTTCGCGTTGCAGAGCAAGGTGTTCACAGTCGGTGCAGCATTGAAATGGGTGATACGTTCCTCTTTCAGCAACCTCCAGATTTCGGGGTAGTCTATCTTGCGTAGGCAATAATGGGTTCCTCGAACGGCCGTCACCGCCCATGGGAACGTCCAGCCTATATGTATAAATAAAATGTTAGTTATTTAGATCCATTTCGTCACTCAAATGAAGATGATCCACGAACCCATAGCATGAAACATGGGTAGCGTCCATAGATAACGGGCACGTCCATCGTGGTAGTTCAGACCAGTTTCAATGATGTTTGCCATTGTACCCAGATAACAGCCTCGATGAGTGAACTCAACACCCTTGGGACGGGCTGTAGTCCCACTAGTATATGCCAACGCAATTGTCGAATCTTCATCGGCAGCTTGACTCTCGAGTCCTTCCCAGCCATGAGAACCTGTATCGATATCGTGCCTGAGGCCTTCCAAAACAGCTTCATCGAAGGGACCTGTCAGCTCACCCTCTGTTACATCAGTGTCGGTATCGACGATAATATGGATGTGAGGGTATTGGGATCGATAATGCTCCAGAAGTGGAACAAATTCCTCGTCGACGATGATCACTTCCGCATCACCATGATCAAATATATAAGCAATGTCTTCTTGTTTCAGACGATAATTGACAGCTACAAATGTGTTAGTTTGATTGATCTGTCTCCCCAAAAGCTAATCACTAGCTTACCGATGTTAACAGCGCCGGCTGCGGCAATTCCGAAAATCGACTCAAGGAATGCGGGAGTATTCGGGCACAGTATCCCCACTCTCTTGAATCCATGTTTCTTGAGGTAGTATGCCATACCCCTTGCTCGGTCTGCAGCCTCGCCATAGCTCCTGCGAAGGATCTTATTGTTGGCGGTTACATGGTAAATCGCCTCAGCCTGTGCAACTCTTTGTTAGATTGAAGTACTACCTATGTACCACCTGAAAAGTGCTTACATTAGGTTCAATGGCAGCGGCCCGAGGAAGAAAGAAAGTCGGAGATAGCGTATGGGTATTCACACGGTGTTCAATCGGCGGCGTTGAACCTGTGAAATGGCCAAGCAGGCCAGACAGGCGAGACTTTGAACCAGACATACTACACCGTGAGTGTAGATTTATGAAAAAGGGGTTGTTAAACAGAAGAGCTATGTGTGATATCGACGAATGAAGAGGTAATGATTGGAATTATACGGGGAACATCGTAGAGTCGGGAAATGAAATACCCCAGGAATACCCCAAGTTGGGGAAAATGCGGGGATACCGCTCTAACCTAGGCTATGCGCGGGGTTATTCGGGTATCAGCGGCTTGGAAATGGTTTGATCTACGTTGTACCCTCGGCTTCAATGAATTACATATTATGTCGGTTGTGGTTGTGTGGGGACAAGACCGGCGGTACGGATCCGGAGGGAATCATCCTTAATTTTGGGTGGATTACGTTAATTCATCTTACTCAGGTATCACTGGTCAGTTATCTAATGGATATATTTAGGACATGCGGGGATACACGTAGGGTAAGAGGTGTGCATGCTGTACTATAAATGGTATGAAAGGTGGTACGTTACAGGCTATGAAGTAATCGTGCCAAGCGCCCAAAACACGTCCCGTGTATTGGTGCGCCCCACTCAACGATAATTTTCACTCAACGATAATTTTATTGAAATAATTCCAGTCAACTCAATATTTACAAGTAACCACCTTGACTATCCATATACCAATTTCCATGATTAGGATTCCTTGCTAACATTGAAGCTTTATGCTCAGCCTCAACTAAATCCCTAGCCTTTTGGGCTTGCTGTTCAGCTTCCAACTTCTTGGCATATTTTGCCTGGAACCGCTCCAACTTTTTAGAATCGGCCGTTCGCCTATCTACCATCTTCTTATTTGCGTAGGTTGGTGCTAGTACTAAGCCCCGTGTACCAAGAATCGATCGTCCATTTTTCTTAGCTTCTGCATTTGATCTGGAGATACCAGCCTTTTTTAATTCTGCTTTGAGAATAGCGACCTCTTGGGATAAAAGTAGATTTGTATCTATACTTCGCCGAATATACCGTCTAGTTACCTGAGATTGGTCGTTAATCTTCTCTAGATCACGGACTAGCTTAGTATTAAGCCGATTGACCCAATTGATTGTATTAGGTAGTGAATTGGTAACTGAGCTTGAGATCTCGGGTAGGGGCAACGGCGTAAAGAACTGTAAGGGAGACCCTTCGTTGTCGATAGCTTTCTGGCGTAGTGGGCCAAGAATAACCTCTGAATCCAAAGGGTAAATACCCCTAGTTCTAAAAGAAGCTCTGATAATTCTTTAGGTAAAAGTTTGGGTCCGAACTTTTTGAATTATCCGGAAAAAATCCCGCTTTTTATAGGTACTTCCACCCTATATAATAGCCTCATTATTCGCTGTACGAAAATGATGCTTGAGTATTTGGAATGCTTGACTGTCTAGTGGTTGATAGAAATGGGTTATATGGGGTAAAAAGAAGAAAGGGATGATAAAATGCTGGTTATAAAATTCAATAAACTTGATTATTATATAGGAGTGATAGTTATCTATAAGAAGTAGGCGTGGTCTACCCTTCTTAACCTAGGATATTGAGGCTTTATAAAAAGAATAAAGCCATTCGAAAGTAGTATTGTCGTTAATCCAGCCATTAGGCGTAGGTTTAATTCGAAAATCGGGTATTTCAATATTTTTGTACCACTCTTCCATATATAAAGAACCCCTCGGTAAAAACCAGGGTAGCATAACCTAACCATCGGTACTTATACATTTAATGCCAGTAATTGATTCCTTTTAACCACTAGTCTAATTGGTAAAATTGATATTAGGTATAAGCACCTTTTGGCGTTTTCCTTGGCCAATTTAGTAGCCGGTTTCATCCTAGTTAAAGATCTCGTTTAGGAGAAAGTGATGCTTTTTAAAGAGAAGATCGAGGTTATTAAACCAAAGAAGTAGAGGGCTGTATTGCTTACTATCCACCCTCGATTTTTCAGACATTTTTGGAAGTATATAGGGTATCGTGGGTGGTAGTCTTTGCATATACCGGTAGACCCAATTTGGGCCTACTATCTGATCGCTTCCAGCGCGGCGTAGAATTGAATTTGCAGCCTCTTTAAGAATTGAATTGGGAATTGCCATATTACCAATATGGAGAGTATCAATCCATGTTCTCAATACTTTCTCCTGAATTGGGCTCAGGGTCTTTTTTAGACTAGCAGCAGTGGTTTTAGTCCCGCGCCCGTGAATGCGGGCGCGAAGCCGTTGGTATGGAACCTCGAATTCCCGCGCCAATTGAGCGATATTAGGTTTTTCAGCTTTATGGTAAGCATGAACAGCCTCTAAGGTTCTATCCTCGAGATTTTCAATTTGATCTGCCATGGTGGTAGGGTGTAGGATATTAACAAAGTAGGTGACGAAGACTAAAATTATCGTTGAGTGAAAATTATCGTTGAGTGGGGCGCACCAACACACAACATGTGTGTTGGGCGCTTGGCACGATTATATATAAAAAAAAGTATGGGTCAAAGTATTTTTTGATCATAAGAATCATGTTGAACTCTTGAAAATTGTTTCTTTGGATTAAACCGCCACGGCGCGAGTCAACGGCCAGCTATTTTGAACCTTCAATCCCAATCGACTCCGTTTTTTTCGACTTTTGAAAACTTCGAAGACCCCAGTCCCCGAGCCGTCATGTCCGTCACAGACAGTGGTATTCATGAGTTAGGGAACTGGGCCGCAGAACAAGGTCGGCCGGCTTGCCGTTCGAATTCGCTGAAAGAAAACCGTCCGCGATTCCATCCCAGAACCATCGCTCGACACAACAACCAGCCGCGCTAAAGGTATCTAGTAGCCATACTGAGCAAGCTGGGTCTTGGTCTTGCTGTCCACATTCGCACCCTGCTCGGCCTTGGCAAGGACACGGCGAGCGGCCTTCTTGCGCTCGTAGTAAGCCTTGCTCTTGACCTTTCGGCGCTCCTCGAGTCTGTAGAAATGTTAGAATTTGTCGATTGACATAAATCACACTCAAGTGATAAATCTGAGATTGTACATACCTGGAAACAACATCCTGGTACTTCCAGCCAACCTCGTGGCTGAGACGGCCAACGGTGCAGTACTTGCGACCGGGACGGAGACGCAGGACACGGAGAGCCTGGGGAACAACGACACGCTTCTTCTTGTCGTAAGGAGGGGGAACACCCTCGAAGACCTTAAGGCGCTCCAGAGCGGCGGCACCACGGGCGGTCTTGTGGGGCATCATACCGCGGATGGCCTTGTAGAGGATACGGGAAGGAGCGCGGAAGTGGAAGGGACCACCACGGGTGGGGTTGAAACGAGTCATCTTGCGAAGGTAGGCGTGGTACTTGACTGTAGGGCGGAATTTCGAGTCAGCTTTCTGATATCCAACTTGTAGTGCACTTCCTCCAATAAAAGTAGGCCCAAAACTGCCATCCAAGAACTGCCAGTGGTTTCGATATGCGGGTGTTTTCCGTCGTGTCTTCCTTCCACGCTGATTCACACAGTTCCCCAATCACATAGAACGCAAAGAAAATATTCGAGAAGGGGTTGAACGTACGCTTCGCGCGGAAGAACTCGCCGGAGATGTTGAGGGCCTCACATCTCACGACGACGATCTTCTGACCGTTGAGCAGCTGCTTGGCGACAGTGCTGGCCAGACGACCGAGGAGGTGTCCTTTGCCGTCGATGACGACCTATTTCCAAACAATTCAAGTCAGCGATACATTCGATATGCACACTTTGCAGGCGAGAGTGGCGGCACTCAGGTCGTTGGGTATAAACGTACCACTGATTCAAAGGAGGACATCCTGGTGATCTTATGTCCCGTGGGATGGATGTTGTCGGCGGTTGTTGTCGTGGGTGTCAAGTCGACGCACACAACGAAGTCGGATGGCTCGATGAGAATGGGTTAAGCGAGGGTCCGCTCACTTTGTGTTAATGGCGAGGGTCGCAGCCCTAAGCCTGACCAATCATGGACCGTAAAAGTCACGTGGTTTGTCTCTCCCGGGTCCGCTCGCATAGTATTACGTAATACTTTTATTTCTCACTGTGCGCCATCATAGTGCTCTTTTCTTTGTGCCGTTAGGGCATTGGCTTAGGGCTGATATACCCTGTTCTTGAAGGTTGTTGTAGATCGAATGATAATCTTCAAGTTGTAACGGGGTTGGAGGCTTTGGTATAATTCCAATGTTCGGTGAGATTGTTCACGTTATGCTAATAGACAACTCGTGGACTATGAATCCCCTTTGCCTTCCACGTAAACCTGTCTCTTGTTGTAAAGTAGTATGTCTTATCGTCTTCCCAATTGTCCGATCTAATGATCTAGCCAACTTCAGGTGGGAACGTTGGGTCCGATGACTAAGATATCCATGAACTCGTCCACGGACAGATCTCGGCCATTGTTTTTCTTTTCCCCGAAAGATCTTTCTTCTCACAGAAATAACCAAGGCCAACGAGACTCCCACCTCATGTTAAACTAATCCTATTCGCTTACGATTCCATACCCACACTCCAATTTGATTTTACGCTCTGAGGCAAGTGTTCTTTCTATACTCGGGTCATGCGACAAAAGACACGTTTTGTCTGTGTCTCTGACACACACGGATGTACGCCGTCCGAAGCGGGCTTCAAGCTACCAGCAGGGGATGTCCTGATTCATGCCGGCGACTTGACAAACAATGGAAGCCTGAAAGAGCTCCGCAAGACAATAGATTGGATCTGCAAGGCCGACTTTGAAATCAAAATCATAGTTGGTGGTCAGTCATTTAACTTGTTGTGCTGGATATAACCCGGGCATTAATGGCTATCCTTGCTGCTCGCCAAATTGCGTCATTCATTAGCAGGGAAAGGTCGATGCAGAGCCCCTAACATTTTGAACAGGCAACCACGATGTCACCTTGGACCCGGAATTCTACAGAGAACATGGAAAAAGATTCCATGGCCAGCACCTCGAAGATTCACAACACTGCCTCAAACTCATCACGGAGTCGCCTTCTGTCACTCTACTTTGCCATGAGCCTGCTTTGATTCGTTTAACGCGAGCAGGCGGACCAAACACAGTGTTCAAAATCTTTGGGTCCCCATACTCCCAATCCCAAGGAAATTGGGCATTCGGATACGAATCAAGGAATGCTGCTGCGCTGTGGGGTCAGATACCAATCGATGCAGACATCGTCGTCACGCATACGCCACCACGATCTCACTGCGACCAAAAGCCGAATGGAATGTTCGTAGGGTGTGTTGCGCTTCGTAGTGCATTAAGCCTCATCAGGCCGCACTTGGCTGTTTGTGGCCATGTACATGAAGGACGAGGATACGAACGAGTTCGCTGGCGAGGCAAGCTTACTAACACAGGGACAGAGAGAGGGACAGAGACAGAGACAGAAACACAGCTAGAATCTGATTCAGTTGACCAAGTCACTCGGGGAATTCTGCCACCCATGGGCAGCAACAAACAGAGCCTAGTTGATTTGACTGGCAAACGGGATCAACGACTAGACAACGAGGGGTTTTCGTATCCCGGGCAAAGACAGCATGATCTAGCAGAGACTCAACCCGTGTCATCAGCATCACCAGGGTCAGAGTCATCTGCTAGTATTCTTGAAATGGCAGGTCCACGGAACTCGCCGAGCGCTCATCCGTCCCTGGGTGCGGGTAGCCATGGCCCCAGTAACCGTGGTTTCGATTACGGCTTGCAAACACTAAGAAAGGAGACCTGCATTGTCAACGCCGCTGTCGTGTCCACTAGCTGGCCGCACCAGGGAGGCAAACGGTTCAATTCGCCGATTGTAGTCGATCTTGAACTTCCCGTGTGGCAGGGAGACCACGCGGTCGCGAATAGGTGAATTGTTTTTCCATAGAATTAAGCAACTTTCGGAAATTACAATTCAGTCGGCCCCATCGATCGTAACGGCAATCTTCCCTTTGCTTTGGCCGTGCATGGTGGCTTGACGCCATTCTCCCTGATACATACAGCAACCTTGTGGGCTTTGGCCCTATTGACACCGGTAGTCGGACGCCTTGATGCATCATGATTTTAACATTGGTCGGCTAGTGACTTGATGCACGATGCTAACTGACTAGTGCTGTCAGATTGTCTCCGCTTACATCATTTATTAATTTACGCGCATTAGCCTCGGTCAAAGCAACTCGAGGATAATCTATACTACGTATTCTATACTGTAGGGATACCTGTAACATATTCTAATATTCGCTAATTCGATAGAAATAAGAAAAGAAGAAATCACCGCAATTCGCTCTCCTCCTCTCAAAATACACAAACACCAGACTTGCCTAGGTACCCCTCTTGTCTCGTGTATACCCCGCATGCAATGGACAAACCCATCTGACCGATCGCAATAACATCGAGCCATATGCACCTGTGATATCACAACCCGAGTTCTTGATTAACACCGTAAGTTCCCAGGTAGTACGATAGACACAAGTCACCTGCAACGGGGATCTGCTCAAACTCAAAACTTCCAGAAACCACAGCGCTTCGAAACGACCTCTTAGTGGCCAACTCCCGGGCCGCAAAGAGCACAGAAATATGAGCCGACCAATCAATAGCTCCTCCCGCCCTCTCCTTGATACCCGATGTGACCATGCGCGGCCGATCATGTATTATCAATCACCGGAGGTTGCCTAAGTGGGAGTCTGTGTTTGTGACCGGTTCTTCAGCAGGGATTTGGGACTGGGACAGCGCTCACACTCCACCCTCGTGGGAAACACATGCTTCTCGCAAGGGCTGCTGTTTAGGCTGGCGCATTCTTTTCCAGAAGGCGTTGAGTGGCTGGACGGAGAGGCCTGGCCATATTTTTATTCTGTACCCCGTATGCACCATGTAATAGTCGAGAGTATTATTGCATGAGAAGGTAGTACCAGACATCATTATTGCAGGCAACCTGCATTGCATCTGCATTTTCCTGTTTCCCGGGTACAAGCCTCCAACCGTTTCGAGCCAATGGTATATAAAGTACATTTTAGTACGTAGTTTGCATATCTCGTATGTTGTACGTTGTATGTTGTATGGCTCCGACTGTTCGGTGCGATTATCCTGACGAAACTACAAACACACCATTAATCCACTGCCAACGCCCAATCGTGGCCTCACCGACTTCGGTCCTAGTGGGGTTGCGTGACTGTCAGGGAGGGGTATCTGTAGATCACGGTTTAAGCGTATAAGGTTACTACCCTGTGTTTCAGAGGGAGGCATTGTGTGACCTCACGAGCTCAACTGATGGGATCGGAGGATTATGGATTCAACTGGTGCAGTCCGGTTGGAAAGAGTGAGAGTCCGTGGTCTAGTCGTGGGGATCGACCAACCCCCGACCGAGGCAAGGTATGCTACAATCACTATCACACAGGAAACTGTCAAATGACAGAGTCAGGCAGATAAGAATAGGAGCTACGGAGTATACAGGTACAATATTGAGGCGGAAATTTGAGGCGGAAATTTGAATGGTGGGTCCTTAGGACACCTTAATACTAAATAGAAAGGTACAACATACATGGCATTCTTAGCAAAATTAAGACTATTTAGGCAATATAGTCATAGTAATATGGCGTAACTACCGAGTGCGGAATATAGAGTAGTAAGATAATGACATGGTGGTAATGCTGACACGGTGTTCGGTATTTGCATTTCCAACAACCTTGTCATGATCCGGGCTGGACATCAGCTCCGTTCAGGCTGTCAGCACCGGTCTGGAAAATGAATGCGCTGCAAAAACCGCAGTCCCGGGTCTAGATGATTTGGAACCAATAGATGGGCCGGACCGTCCGAGACAGGGGAGTACGACGTGGTTTCATCGAGTGTACTGTAATTGTCTCATAGTCTAGAAAGTCAGAGTAATGGTTGGAAGATAGGGCCCGAGGTCTCGGGTGGGGGTTCAACGACACGTTGTCTAGTTAGTCAATGGGCCCGTTGCGGGACAAGTGCCAGCTGTGCCAGCTGTTTTAGCTTAGGAGAGATTATTGAGATTATTGGGTGCGAATGCCTGAAGAGTCCGTTACTGATGTAAGATCTAGAGATCCCCTGTAATATCGAGGGCTGCATTCTGATATAAGGTGAGAATCAAATATATACCACATACAGCATACATAGTTATATGAAACAATATCTCACTATATATAGAAACAGGCACATTCTTCAGCGATGGAACGCTTCGGGAAGGTGGGCATTACAAGTCAGGCACTGATTTCGTTACTTATATCTATGGAGTAACTACAGATACAACAGACACCACCCAATCACACGTTTCAGGTTAAACAAGCGAGTTAGATATGACTGGCTGAGGTCGACAGGCTCAAGACAAGGCGGGAAAAGTTTAAACAGAACCAACTCAAGCCGGATAAAGCGAAAGCAGTGAGGCGACCGAAGCTAAACTGGCTAAAAACCCGCAGGCACTAGTTGGACGAAAGTCGGGGATATGCAGGAGAGACTGAATCGAGAAGAAGAAGGGATTAGCGGCATGACGATTTCCAAGAGAAGGCAGACCGATCCCTTTGGAATCGAGGGATCATGTCCCTCGTGTTAATTCATCGCCCCACGCAGCAAGCCAAGGTGCTGGTGAGGCGTTGATTGGTAGGAATGCGAGCAAATCGGACGAAGTGCTCAGACCAAGTGAATGTCAGTGGGGAAGAGAATGAATTTTTTGTGATTAGATGATTATTCTGACGGAGTACGGAGTAGAGGGAATTAGGATATTAGGTTGGGCATCCTTGTCTCTGAACCTCTTTTCGATGTCTATGTGACTCTTTATACCGCGATATTACATCTCGAATTACCGACCTTCTCTTTGTGGC